ACCCAGTAGTAGGCAACCGGCACAGGGCCTGAAGCTCTTGGTTCCACGCTCGACGACGGCGACGACTGCCTCTCCGGAGCGTCTTGCTCCCGCCCACCAGAAAAGCTGGACACCGTACCATTTCCCTCCTCCTTGACTGTCTGCGTAATACTGGTTGTTTGGCTGTCGTTGGTGCAATGTTCCTCAGCGTGGTGCGTCGCTCAGCTGGCCGGGTGGCCACAGCACCCAACGGAGGAGCAGCTCAAAGCGGCAGGAAAGGGACAGTCAGGTCGCTGGTGGGAAGCTCCCGGCCCGCGCTGGCCAACATCCTGATCGGGGACTCCACGGACCCGGTGTGCGAGTCCGTCTTCCGCAGCCGCGGGCATGCCGTGGACTTCAAGCCTGGTCTTTCGAAGGTATGGCCGGACGGGGGATAGGGACAAAATGTGTTCCCTCTGGTGCCACATGCTAAGGAGATAGCGTGCATGTGGCTGCGTGTTTGTATTTTGGTGTGTGAGTGTTTGCCGGTAGCGCTGTGGGGCTAGCGTTGTCGTAGTTGCCCGCTGCATGTCTAATTCACTGACTGGTACTCTGGTGCGGTTTGATCAATAACAGCAAGCGGCCGAATTTTCCCGGCGGGCGCGTGACGCGATCCGCAAGTGCAAAGTGCAGACAGCAGTCTTACGCATCCACCCAGCAAGCAGGTATAACGTTTTTCCTGATACCTCTCCGAGGTTTTTGCTGGCATGCGTAGCCCCCTGTCAGTCCTCAGCTGTGGTCTCCGTGCGGTGTCCAGGATCAACTGCTGTTGTTGATGATGGACACGGTCTATACCAACAACAGCATTGTAGTAGATCGGAGACCGCCATGTGTGCCCTTTTGTCGAAGAGTTTTCTCAACGTCAACTTCACAGCGTCCACTCGTCCACTCATCATCCTTAGAGACACATCCATCTCATGCTGTGCATGCGACGGACGGGTGGAAGGGGGGGGGACAGCGCCCGAAAGTTTGCTGGATCCTCAGACACATTCTTCTATCTTGCCATGCCTGGGGAGCTACAGCCACGGAGACACCGTGATGAAACATGAACACCCGAACACCCGATGCTTCTTTTTTGTAGAAAGTTCTTTTTTACATTGCTGGTTGAACCTTGCTTGTGGCTGGGGCGGGTGGCCGTTACAGAAATGGCATCTCTTGGCTCTTGGCTTACTTCGGCAAAGTTTGGGTCAGGTGCGGGTGAATCACCCATCACCAAACTGTGTTAGTGAGCCTATCACCCACACTAAACCTACAATATCACCCTGCGTCGCGCGAGGATAAGTATTGAATACCACAGGTGTGCATGGTTCCATTGTACAGCAGCGGTTGGGCGGTGGCATACGCATAATTCATGCTGTATGCTTCCTTATGTTTTTTTTTTTTCTTAGTATGACACAACGAATCCATCTTTATCATAGAAAAGAGTCAGAGACAGATTAGCAATGAATTCATAGCGTCAGAAAAAGTTACCTGTATGTCTACGATTTCCGAGACAGCATAGAAGTATAGGGACATCTCCCCTGTGGGTAACAGGCTCAACAAAACAGTTTGGTGGCTGTCTTGTGTGTCTCATATATGTTTTGTTGGGAAGGTTAGATATTCTTTTTTTTCTTGTTGACCTTTCGTCGTTTCACCTGTGGTCCACTGAAATACATGGACACGGCGGTGTTTGCTCTTTCCTGTGTTTGTGCAAGAAATTTCAACATTCTCAAACATACAGCGGTGGAAAAGCGTGGGTGCTGTTCTGTCAGCCGAAAAAGTGTGCGTCAAGACCGCTTCCCTGTTCTGCCATTACACACAGCACTTCGAATGTATGCATAGCGCAAATTGCATGTTGCGTTCATACTTGTACATATTTTTCAACGTTTTCGGTTATGCGTGGAACACTGCCACCCCCCCCCCCCACACACACACACACATACACGCAGCCCCACGTTTGGCTTGTGTTTTCCGTTGGGCTAGCGATCAGCAATGTTGCGCACCACGAACGCTGCCGCTGTACCATAATTGGCGGAGGGATGGCACCGGTCGGAGAGATGGCACCGATCGGGGAGATGGCGCCGGCGTGCACGAAAAGACAAGAACGGCATGGTGTCACTCGATTTACCACAAGAGCGGCATGATTTTCATTCGATTTACCACCGTGTGCGATATCTCCGAAGACCCTGATTTCAAGAATGAGGCATGTTTGATCTGCCGGAAAGAGGTATCTACATGTGCGGTACCTTTTGGTCTCAGGGGAGCGCCACTCCTCTAAAATTGTGTACGGACGGAGTATGCGGTTGGGGTTTACGCGGGATTCCATTTCTTTTCATTTTTTTATTGGTATGGAAGTTGCCAACCGTACAACACAACCAAGCACACAACATACTATTTAAGAGGCGGAGAGATGGTGCCGGTCGGGGAAATCGCACCGGTCGGAGAGATGGTATCGGGATGCGACAAAAAAACTCGATGGAAAAACGTAATAAAAATACGATCGCACCTGGTGCCATCTCTCCGCCTTTTATGGCACATTGTTGCAGTAAATATTCGATTGCGGTAGCTTCTCCTGCATATTTCACCGGCGATGCCGTTTTTCAGCAGGTCTGAAAGTGGCTACAGCAGAGGGGGGGCATAGCATCTCCTGCCTAAATATACGGCAATGCTGTTTTTGAACCGGTCGGAATGTGGATACAGTCGGGGGGCCCGTTCAGCGCCGGTTGAATAGTGCCCGTGCCTGGTATAGTGCCAGTTTACTCCGCTGAATCAACATGTCATTCTGTACTTTGAATGGTGCCGGTGTCCGGTATATTGCCATTAACTATCTGGGCACATACCGGCACTAACGCAGCCCCCCCGACTGCTGTTAAATGGTGGATAAGAACGCTGCTGTCGCTTGACTGAAGATGGCACGCCTCTCGGGGATTTTTCCCTATCTGCAGTCCCCCCCCCTCCACACAGTAACGGGGGAGGGTGTTACCGATACGCAATTTATCTATCGTATCTGCTGAGTGTCGTCGATTTCACCCGCTTTGAAGGATTCACTTTACCCCTATTATAACTGCTCCTGACACGGCGAGTTGCGTTGTTCTCCCCCACCCCGTGCGGCGAAACGTGCGTGTGTTGCTACAATGCCAAACAGGAGGAGCTGCTGTCCATCATCGGCAAGTATGACGGGCTGGTGGTGCGGTCGGGGGTACAGGTGGACGAAGACCTCATCACCGCCGCCAAGAACATGCGCATCGTCGGCCGTGCGGGCACAGGTGGGTCGTGCGGCGGTCGTTTTTGCTGGCCCTGGGGTTTGGTTGTTTCCTCCCGCTGCCTCTGCCGCTGGTGGTATTGTCTTGAGTGCGTTGCGGTAATGTCAGCGTGTGCTTGAGTGTGCCGATTGGTGGAAAGTGACGCCCAAAATATAGACAAGGGATGACGGCAAATTTAGCTTAATGTTTTGTTTTTTGGTGTTTACCGTACCGTCAAGTCGGCACAGCCACAACACGCGAAACCGTCTGCCGCCCAAGAATAGCAGCCGCGTCGCGTTGTTACCGCTCCGTCAAAAGCTTCACCGAACGAACACTCGTGGGGAGATGTTTCCCGCTGGAATCAGGTCTGCGTGTGTTTTTTTTTTCCATCGTTCACCGCACTTGACACTGGCTGTCACTGCTGGTGTTGAAAAGCTTAAGCTAAATAGGTGACGTGGAATCGGTCGGCGGTGGGGCCTGTCGCGCGTAGATTTGTTGTGTGCATGTGCCATTGGGGTCGTTCGTGTGTGCGTGTGTTCGTCTGGAAGATGTCTGCGATCAAAGTGTGCTGGTTAGACCTTCTTGGGCAGGAAAACAGCGGGGAAGTCGAACACTGAAAACAGGCGGGCAGGCGTCGCCGCGGCTGCTGCCCCCTTCCATCTCTCTCTCTCTCAAAAAAAAACTAAAATTCCCTCATAAACCCATTGTTCCGGCCATAAACCTATGCTTGCTCTGAAATCTAGTGTCCGTCTCATATATTACTTTTCCTGACCTTATTTGACGATATCTCAACCAGAACGAAACCCAACCCTGCTCCCAGAGCCAATATTATTAAGTCTATTCCATTACGCCTCAACAGATATACTATGATTTACAACTACCCCAAATCTTCTTTCACTTACTAAAACTAGGGTTGACTTATTGCACGACATTGGCATATGCCGCAAAGGATAGGCTATATCGCCATCCCCGCCCGATCGTGCGTTTTTTTGTTTCCATGTGAAAGGGTGGTGTCCTTGACGCCTTCCCGGCCGTGTGCTAGAGTAGTGCAGTTTGGCGGTTTCTCGAAGCCCGTTTGTTATCATCAAACGAGCATACGCCATGATTTCTCGCCCTGAGCCTAGTCACCACAGACGTTCCAACAACCCCAAACCCTTGCGGCACGAACAATACGCTAGGATTTGATTATTTATCTGTGAAACAGAGAGGGGGGCTTCGTATCCCTATCCCTGACCCTTGTATAACCCTCAACCACCTACTAACCCCAAGCTTGCTATCCTCGCGACGGCTACTGAACACGCTCCTGCGGCTTTGCGGTGGTGCAGGGGTGGACAACATCAACGTCCCGGCGGCGACGTCGAAGGGAGTGCTGGTGATGAACACTCCCGGCGGGAACACCGTGTCTACGGCCGAGTTGACGATGTCCCACATCCTGGCCCTTGCGAGAAACATCCCTCAGGCCGTGTCCTCCATGAAGGAGGGGCGCTGGGACAGGAAGAAGTACACGGGGACCGAATTGGTGAGAGGTGGGAGGGGGGGGAGGAGCGTTTGTGGATTTGGGAAAAGGAACACGGGTCCCTCCGTGTGGAAACCGTGGAACACCCCCCCCCCGCCCGGGCCAAGATTGACACGCAGGATAGCCACTGTCGGCGGCTCACTTGGAGCAGTCTATTATATAGGATTTATTGTGTCCATAGTAAACCAATATACTCTTCACTGAATAGACTTTCGTGCCGCATTATAAAACCCACAAAATCCTTTAATTTGTAGGCTTTCGTGTCGTCATACTATTTCTTCAGCATCCACTAGTCCTCGCGACCATGATTGACGCGTATTCTTGGGGTGTTTTCATAATTTCCACTAGCTCTGTGTGTGATCCCCCGCGCGCGCACTGGAAAAAGCGCCCGGAACATGTCGATTCCCCGGGGATTTTGTCAAAATGTCCCCCCCCGGGACATGTAAGGCCCATCCCCCCCCCCCCCCCACCGCGACCAAGATTGACACGTAGCCTAGGGGTGTTCCAATGTTTCCAGATGGAGGGACCCTTGAAAGGAAGGAGGCTTTTGTTTTCCATGGTGACGCAGTTTGGATTAGTTTGGGGTTGACTAGGCACAGGCAGACAGACAGGAAGATTGGCTGGCAATAGGCAGGCAGGCCGACAGGCATGATCACAGACACACAAAGATAGGATAAGACAAATATTTGTGGAAGAGGTCTACCTAGGTCTAGCGTTCTGGAGGTGGTAGGACGGTACACGTGGACACACAACACGTGCTACAAGCGAGAAGGGGGACGTTTGATTCATCCAGGGTTTGTTTCGTGCGGGGTTGACGTGGAACGCACACGGAGACGGGGGTCAGAGTGCAGACATCCAAGAGTGACATGTTAAGTGATAATTGTGACCCACCTCACCTTGCTTCCCCCCCCCCGGTGGGGAAGACGATACCCTGTGAGGGCTCTCGGTGCAGCTTATGACGACCGTGTCAACCACCCTGCTTCTAGATGAGAAAGACGATCCCCGTACATGCTTGTGACCCCCCTATCACTCTCCCACCCCTCACACCCACCCCGCCGGAATGTAGATGGGGAAGACGATCGGGGTTGTGGGTCTCGGACGCATCGGCAGGGAGGTGGCGACGTGGTGCATGAACTTCGGCATGCACGCGGTAGGGTACGATCCCATCCTGACGGACGATGCCGCGCTCGCCGCGGGGATAGAACCGGTGTCGCTCGATGAGGTGGGTGAACGTTCGACGTGTAGGCATCGCGAAGTTATTCTACTAGTTGCACACGGCGCGCCTCCGGAGTGGCTCATCAGGGCATAGTTATAGTGTCATGAAGGCGTGTGACTCACGGCTATAATAGCTACCATCGGTGACGTTTCCCAAGCTCGAACAGCTCACACAGCTGACATGTTTTTGACTCGAACCAACAAGAAAAGTTTATAGATCTGCCTGCTTGTCTTCTCAAGCAGCACAGCGAGCTACACGTAGGTTTGCGAGCTGCAAGTAAATATTGTGTACATTACTGTATAACTAAATAGCTGACGATCATTAGGTCGAAACCGAAGCATGGGTTTCGGTAGTCGGCGCGAATCTTGTCGGCCACATCGATCATTGTCGATGATTGGCTAAGTCAATGGTGACGTCTACTGTGGCTTAGGATGGAGGGGTGGGAGGAGTCCTCATGGATATTGATCTATAGGTGGGTTGTGAGAGGGGAGAGGGTGCGTGTCTTGCGGTTGTTTTTTGTTGGGAGACGCGCTGGGATAGAGCCGGTGTCGCTGGGTCGGCTGTCTGGCCAGTGGCACCGTAGGTTGCATGATGTAAGACTCCACAATGAGCGATTTTCAAAGCCCGAGTACTCTGGAAAAAAAGAAAAACTGCGACGGTGCCGAACAGACGGAACACTACTCGCTCCCCTTCCATCTCGCCGCTGGCCGGCCTCTCTTATGCCCCAACCCTGTCCCCTGTTTGCGTGCTGGTGTGTTCACGTGGCATCACATGTTGCAGCTGTTCGCGTGCTCGGACTTCATCACCCTGCACACGCCCCTGACCCCGGAGACCAAGGGCCTGATCGGCAGGAGTAACCTAGACAAGTGCAAGAAGGGGGTCAGGATCATCAACTGCGCGAGGGGGGGTATCATCGACCCCGTTGCTTTGGTGGACGCTCTCAACCTGGGAAAGGTGAGGGGATTCCCTTGGTGTTGTTGGCGGTGGTATTGGTGTTGGTGTTGGTATTGGCGGTGGAGGTGGAGGTGGTATTTTTTATCCTAACGTGTTGTCGTTGTCGTTGTCGTTGTTGTTGTTGTTGTTGGAGGTGGTGGTTTTGATGTGTAGTTGTTGTGTTGTCGTTGGTGGGTGGTACTTTCGATGTTAATTAATGTGTTGTCGTTGGTGGTGGTTGAGTTGCTGTTGTTGTCTCCATTGCTGCAAACCCGCTCGGACAATTCCCGAGGTCTCTTCCAGCAGCGAAAACTGATATGTTGTCTGTGTCGCTTTCATGCCCATAGCCCCCCGCTTGATTGATCGGTTTTCAAAAGTCAATCTTAGCCTACACCGTGAATCTCGGAGCACTACAAAGCAGTCTCTGCGTCGCTGAGATGGTGTGACGACCTCTCTCCCATTGTAGTTTGAGCAGCTACAGCAGTATCGTTCGTTGTGGCGTGAGAAGAGAACCGGTCATGGGTCTTGGCATGTGGGAGCACGCTGACGTGTCGTCGACGTCTTGTTTTTCGAGCTCACACTCCACGCAAACCCATCGCACAGCACTGGCTCTGTTCCCACTATTTACTTGAAAAACGAGTGGCTGTTTTTATTTGCCAGGGATGTCAGATCTGTGTTGTAGTCGAGATGGCTTCATGGCCGCTCTTTGTTTGTTTGAGCAGCTACTGTAGCATCGCTTGATGACGTGTTTTTCCTGTCGTGCGAGAAGCAGCTTTTTTTGACAGGGTCGCGTGTAGTGTTGGCTGGTACATACTACCGTAGGTCGCCTTACGTACGATACCACACCCCACGGAACGTTTCTCAAAGCTGGATTACGCCACGACTAAAAAAGGATGCCGGAATCAAGCTACGTTTTCGGAAAGCTCTCGACGAGACGCGGTCCAACGTCGCCATTTTCGGCACCGGTGCCGTTTTGTGTGTTGAGGAGTGATGGAGCTATGGAAACGGTCCCCGGGGTGTGTAGTATCTATCTTAGGCGACCTACGTTACACCTTTCAGCGTGCTCACTCTGTTCCGTGTATTCTATTCGGATGGATGCTTCAAACTTCGTATTTTTTGGTTGTAGTTCTTCCGCGAACGATGCTTCATGTGTGTTGTTGTGGGTTGTGGTACTTCTGCGAACGATTTAGGGTGGTTGCGAGTTT